GGGAGAGAGGGAGAGAGGGAGAGAGGGAGAGAGGGAGAGAGGGAGAGGGGGAGAGCGAGAGAGAGACAGAGAGAGAGAGAGAGAGTGCTCAAAGTCAGCCATGATCAATTCTCAACTCAAACTGTAGGTTTCACAAAGAGAGAGACGGAGAGACGGAGAGAGGGATCCCTCAATAATAAGGTTAAAGGAAGCATTCCGGAGCACCGCCAACCGAAACAACTCCTGCTTGGCAGTGGAGGTATTGTGCAGCACTCTTCCTTCAAGAGTAGCATGGCGGTGAACACTGAAACAACATCAGGCTTGTTGGCGTTTGGTCAAGGAAGCTGAGTATAACAGGTGAAATTGCAAATTGATTTGCAGCAAAAGGATGATATGTCTTTTTCATGTTGGAAGATGAGAGATGTCGACTGTCCCAGCTTCTTGGATAGACGACATGGATTGAGACTTTGGAGACTTCTCTGATCGCCGCTGGCGAAAACCTCACCATGGCCAGCGAAATGATGGCATGTATGCATGTCTCAGGATATGGAGATGCTTGGCTGCAGGGGCCTCTGGAAAACCTAAAGACACAGACTCGGCCTTTCAGATACGATATGAGACAGATGAATGCAAGAGAAGAACAAGGGCCTCGGATCGCCTTTCCAGGCAGAGGCGTGTCCTGAAGAGAGAAGGACATACTACGACCGACATCGTGTCTCAAAGTTAGGGGACTGTGTGATCACCTATATTCATAAACATAAACCTACAGCAAAGGATGCAATGCACCAATGCACCAGTGCAACCTCAGAAAAGCAACCACTCCAACGACCGCTCCTTGGAAGAATTTGACGCTAGGAGCTGTGTCACCAGGTTGTCACCGAAGGTTGGTCTAGTCACGTCTATTGTTGGTGCACAGTTTTGAACGAGCTGGTGGAACCAGGAGGGAGCTAAAGAACCAGGACTATCCATATTGCCATACTCCCCGACATGAGCAGAGAGCCGCAGGGAGTCCCCCAACTACTTGCTAGTTAGGGACTCCAGGATTTCCGACCATGCAAGCTGCAACCTCATCATGGATGGGCCATAGCTTCAGAGTACATGGCACAACATCCATCAACATGCAATCTCCTTCGAAACTATTGTTTTAAACATCAGTCTGGTGATAAACCGCTTTTCGTACCCTATTTGTCACTAGACAGCACCCCTTTTTCAACATCCAACATGGCCCTAAATATCCTCATATTATGGCTCTATAAACCAAGAAAAACAGCCTCACTAAATAACATAAATTCCACCAAATCGTCTGACTCAAACATGTCACCATATACACAACATACCTCCACACGCCCTTCTTTCCTGTGGGTGTGTCTTGGAAAACTCTCCTATTGACATAGATCGACTTTGGGGTAAAGAATCTTTACTCCAAAGTCGATCTATGTCAGAAAACAACTATTGTTCACCCTTTCACAAAGGAGTTGGACGTCAAAAGGAGATCCATTTTCTCCACTCGTGTGAACTCTCCAGCATGTCTCGCGGGTTCACTCCGAGTTGCCGAGGACCAGGTGGAGCAGCTGCTGACGGCGTCGCAGGAACCGAAGCCGCAGGTCACCAAGAGCCTCTCGACGTGGAACGATGGTTGCCGGTGGGTGGAACCTGCGCCTTTTGGTCGCTGAGAGGTTGGGAAGTGTCCTATTAACTGGGATGGAGGTGGGCAGCTGAAACCAGCCCTGAGTGGTGTTGACCATGTGAAACGGTTTCGGTGGTTGAAGCTGCTGGAATTGGGAGGCGATGCTGTTGGCCTGGCCTCCGCTCGATGTGACGTGGATCAAATCCTGCACCGCCTATGATGGTCTGATGGACTAAGGATGCATCAATTAAGATGGGAACATGTTTGGTCAACAGGTGATGGAATGAATTTGTTCATCATTCTGACATTGACGATGTGTTTCTGGATGTTGGTCAAAACCAGGATTCCTTGCTTGCCCTACCTGGAAGGTCAAGCTACATGGTGTTGGGGCTCCAGGTTTTGACTCCTGGATAGAATTGAACTCTGGACCATCAACGCCCCGGGGACCGCCCAGAAACCAGACCGTCTTCTGGGCGCAAAATTGCCAGCAGGTAAGTCACAGCTGTCATAGCCTTTGTGTCTTATGCGTCTTATGCGTATGGCATATGTGCCCTCCCTCCAATCATGGAGGACAGAAGCGGACCCCCTGGGGCCAAGGACCATGGTCTTCCAAACTCGGGGCCAAGGCGTTCCACGTCTCCGCATGGGAGTGTGACGTCACACCCGCCATGACTACCAGAGCTTGAAGAACCCGAACTAGACTATCCGAGTTCGGTACCCCTGGTCCACTGGTCCGAACGTTCAGGTCACTGGATACCTCTCTATTTAAGTCATGTTGCAGCGGTGGTCCGTCCCATTGGAAGTCGTTCCAGGGGGCCAGCTCTTGGTCCGTGTCCGGGCCGTGGCCCTGGCGCCGGGGGACGTGCGGGTGATGAGTGGAAAGACCAGCCTGGTGCAAGGGCCACCAAGCTTCCCGTATGTGCCAGGCGAGGGGGGTTAGGGTGGACATGGGTGGACTGAGAGCATGTGAAGGAGGTGTTGTTGTTCGATGGTCGAAGTAGGTCGAAGTAGGCAGTCTGGTATGTCGACACAGATGGGAAAGGACCGTCGAATTGCAGAAAGGCATGTGAAGGAACTGTATTTGACACTCCCAACCATCATTGCCGGCTCGAAGAACCTCCCGTCTACTCCAAACACTCCAGTAGAACACAGCAGAACCACAGGGTGTTGCAGGGGCCATTGGGGACCCAACCCATACCGAACCGAGCAAACCAAAGTGCCAAAATTCAAAAGGCAGAGGTTGCATCCATGTGGCTCTTCGTCCTATGGCTCAAGCGCTCTCGACTCGAGAGCGATCTCCAGTAGCGATCCGAGTAGTGAAAGTGGCTGGCCACGCCTCGCAGAACGTGGGGGGCATGGCCGCGGTACCATTCGCAAAGCCACTGGCCTTCTTCACGGTCCTGGTGGCGGCAGAGGTCGTGGTGACGGCAGCAGCGGAAGACCAGCTGCAAAAGGAGGTGGATAGCCTGTTGAGTCTTCGAAGCCATGAGGTCGAGCCACCAGCCGATGCCACTCGACAGCGGCGGGAGGTGGAGGTGAATGGGGCAGAGGATCGAGGTGAAGCTCAAGCAGCTTCAGCAGCTTCCATGGCGCAGGCGCTGCTCGAAGAGGAGAACAAGGAGCTACGTGAGGAACTGCAGAGGCAGATGCCAGCTCATTCGAAGGCCTCATTGCTGGAAAGTAGCTCCACAGGTTCCTCTGAATCACAGGCAGCACAAGCGGCCCGATGGAAGCTTGCAGCGTTCCTTCAAGTGACTATGGTTCTCGTTACGATGCTGGTTCTATCAGTGCTTTACTGCAGCAGCCGCACCGCAGCGCCTTCGCCACCAGCGAAGTCCAAGCCAAAGTACGGCAGCTCAGACTATGCCAAGGGTCGACGAGTGAAAGCTCCAAAAGGCGTGATCGATGAGGACGAGGAGCAAGCCTGGAGCGACCTCCGCTTTGCTCGACCTTCAGAGATTTGGACCCGCTCCTGAGCGCACCCCCCGCGCCCCGTTTCACTGCTGGGCCAAACGATACAGGTGCAACTCGCATAACGACAGCTTAGCGAGTAAAAGGAGCATAGAACATCATAGAACCATACGGCATTTACTGTTAGAAATTATGTAATACAGTGAAACTGTGAAACGTGGAATACTTCGACTGTACTGAATTTGTTATCGTTTTGATGCGCTTGGGTGCCAACAGTCGTGTTAAAAAGAACCTCCGTGTTTGCAGTCATTTGTTTGCTCAATGGGTTCGACTCAGCATGTCACCTGGCCCAGTTCCGTTCATATTCGCCTCAAACTGATGTGTCCACGTGCTGAAAAAGAGGCTCGATGATGCTCGATGCATAGCGATGGGCGAAACAGGCTTGACAAACGATAACCATTGTTTTCAGCGCCAAAGACGGACCGCGGTCTTGTTCCAGGGAGTTGCATGGTCACATTCGGTCACCGAGAGTCTTGATGGTTTGCGCCATGCCCTCGACAGGCCACCCCAAGATGAAATAAGATGAAGACATGTGCGCACAGTTGGCTTGGCGTGGTTCGATCGACACAGACGACTCCCCTGCTTGGGCTTCAAAACCGCCAATTCGTCAGACGGGGCATGGGAACTCATGGGCCCAAAGGGTCCGGACGAAAGGGGAACATCGGTCCGGTTCGTGGTTCGGCGGCTTCAGGTGGGTGAGGGAACCGGACGGTCCGTGGCAAGCGCTGTCTCCGGTCATGATGAGATTATAGCTGGTTTTTCCAAGCTCAGGTGTCAGGCTGAACTGATTCATAAACCTTTTCCCAGTTGTTGCCGTGAAATTCTGAGAATCGGTCACGAAAATCCGATCAAGGCGGAATGGCCTGGGGCCCAGCCCCCAACCATCCCCAACCAAGAACATCCCGTCTCTTCCATACCCTCCGGCCATTGGGGACCCAATCCATACCAAACCTACCAAAGCAACAGTACTGAAGGCAGAGGTTGCTTTCAGTACTGGTGAAGATCCTGGATCTCCTACACATGGGGACTAGCATGGTGAACTACTCTGGGGCAAACATGGGCAAACCATGGCAAACCTATTTTCGGACCCACATCCATGTCGCTCTTCTCCATGAACCCTCCACAGGGGCCACATTTGTTCAGCTTTTTTGACTTCTGATTTTCGAGTTCATCAGGAGTCGGGTTTTTCTCTCTGAATAGAGATTCAAAAGGGAGGAGAAGCTCTACCCTAGGTTAAAACCATGGGAACTGAACATTTGATACACATCGAGTGCTCACCCAAGAATGTTTGAAGGCAGCTTCACTGTTTGCCCGTTGTCTTTTTGCATTGGACTGTCCAGGAGGCGATCTATCTGGAGTTGTTTGCGCGGTGCATGAGATGCTTGCTTGACAATGGGACGGTCCGTTTGTGGGCGATCGTTGAAGCATCTGAATGTTTCCGGAGCAAGAAAGGTTGCACCCTTGAATAGATCACAGAACCATCAGAACCTGGGACATTGTCCCCTTTACCACCCAGGGGCCACCTAAGACTGAAGAGGAGACTGGTTGATCAAGAGGTGGCTGCCATCTGGGACTTGACACACATTGTGCATGAACAGTGCCTGAAGATCCTTGGAGGTCCAAGCTGGAGCTACTCTTGGAAAGCGCAGACATTGGCGATAGTAACTGTTCACTGTTCCAGTCGCAAGCTGATCGTCAACAACCAGTCCTCGAAAACGAAGGCGACAGCCGTTTGGTCTGGTAGACCTGAGTGTGAACAGACTTTGGCCAGGAGAACGATCGGAGTGTGCGTCTTCCTGGAGTTATCCTAAGTAGCCTGCTGTGGACTCTGTGCACATGTCACATGCGCCAGCCGTCAGTACCATTCACCCAAAACCGAACTCAATCGATCTGTTCAAAAGGTACCCAATTCGACTCCACCCACCGTTGTGGATTCCATGAATTCCGAAAAGGGGACCCATTCCGGCTGAAAGTGCGACCCGAGAATTCCGGAGAACTGTGACCGGACGGAACACACACGCACACGCACACGCACACGCACTGAGGAGTGAGAAGAAGTTCAAGGCGTGCTCCAAGAAGATGGGATCTGGGAGCTTCACAGATGTGGGACGTGGATGGTGGATGTGCCTTGAGACTAACAAAAACTGATTATTGGAGTCTACTTCATGTTTAACTCATTTGGCCCGTTTGACGAAGCCATGTTCGGAACTTGGAAGAATTTGGGCTTGAAAGGGATTTGCCCATAAAACCGCATTTTGCTCCACTTGAGTAGCTTGCAATGTGGACATGGCCCGAACAAATCTCTTCAACGCAACCAGCTGACAGATCATCATCAAAGCAATACAGTTGCAACCAAACATCCAAACATCAATGAAACTATACCTTCGGATCAGTTCTTTATTTGCAAATCACTCCTCTGCACGGGTTCCCAGTCCAAACCCTAGGGCTGCTAGGCAGTATCCGTTCCCAATTTCCGGACTATGCCCGAGCCCCAAGGATTCCAACCTTGGTTTGATAGCTGGATATGGTTTGAATGGATCAAACACCAAACAACCGTTTGTTTTGCGGATGTTCGACGACGAAACCAGGGACCTAGCAGCGGACTCCGCATCTTGTAAATGGTCGAAGGGAAAGGTTTAGGCTGCCAGGGATTCACTGGAGGATGGTAAGAGATTTCTGCCAGGGAATTCAGCTGCGGAATCTGAAAGCCCTCGCTGCCAGGGAAAGGTTCCACCAGAGGTTGAAGAACCGTATATATAGACTATCATAGACTATCCTATAGGTATACCCCCTGTAGGGTCCTATAAGCTCTGTTGGTTTAGGCCAGGCTGTCGCTGAAACAGGTGGGAGACGAAGTGGTTTGCATGTTCGACACCGTCGGGCCTCGTGGTGCGCTGGCGGAGCCTTGAATGTCTCGCGGGGCGAGTGGGAGTTTGGGAACAAATGCTAATATACCTAGAACATCCTAGAACACCTACTGTAGAACACCCTAGAACACATGCTAATATACCTACTGTAGAACA